GGCTCCGGCGCCCCCTTGGACAGCTCCGGCGCCCTCCCAGACTGGCCCATGGGCCTACTGGACGGCTCCGGCGCCCCCTTGGACAGCTCTGGCATCCTCCTGGGCGCAGGGCCTGCCACGCTGCTCCCCAGCCTGGACGTCTCACTCTGCTCGTCCGTCTCAGGGCTCCTGGGGGACTTGGAGCCGGCGGGCAGCCTGGTCCCGGCGCTGTGGGGCGCAGAGTGCGGGGCGCGGGCACTGCTGGCCCCTCTGCCGGACGAGGGGCTGGAGGGCGTCTTCGAGGACATCGACACCTCCATGTATGACGGCGAGCTGTGGGCACCCGCCGGCCTCAAGGCCTTGGCGCCGGCGCCAGGCGAGGACGAGGCGGCGCCGGGCCCCGAGGACGGGGGTCTGGACATCAATGACCTGGACTTGCTCATGGATGTGCTGGTGGGCCCACGGGGGCTCTGAGCCCGCTCCCGGGCCTGGCAGGACGGGGGGAGTCAGGGGTGGTGTGCCCCCCCTCCAAGCTGCAGAGCCGCAGGCAATGAAATGGTTAATGTCTGAGTCAGCTCCTGCCTCTTGTACCTGGTGCTGGGGCAAAGTTGGGGGGGCTGGGAGCCCAGATGCCTGGGTCTTGCCCCAGGTCTTGGGTGGGGGGAGACCACAGGGAAACTGAGGCAGGAAGCGAGTCAGGGGCACATGCCCCCTTGTGGCCGAGTTGGGGGCAGCACCCAGCTCCTGACCCTGAGCCAGGTGCCCCGACCCCTAGGCCTCACTGCCTGCCTGGCCTGTGCCTGGCGTCCCCCTCCCGAGAGCTGTCCCAGAGGCTTTGGGTGCATCTCGAAGCTCCGAACCCCCCAAAATGTTCTGGGCACCCCCGAAAGCCAGCGCCAAGTGGGGGGGTCTTGGTTCTTCCCCCCAAGGGGGTCAGCTGTGTCCGCCCTGGAGCCCAAATCCCGCCTGCCCCCGGAGGCGCCCGAATCCCTGGTGCTGGGGCCGGGGACCACAACTTTCCAGCCCTGGGGGGGTCCGGGCAGCAGGGGCACCGTGGACCCCGCGTACTGGGCCCCGGGCTCCGGCCCGGGGGTGTGGGCCGCGGGTGCCCTCTCGGGGCGCCGGGGCCTCGGGCATGGCCATGCCTGGGCGTGGGGGCGGGGCATTCCCCGCGGC